GGGAGCGCGGGCGGGGATTTAATTACCCTGCTCGGCGGCTCAGAAAATCGCCTTGCAGAGGAGCTGAGCAGGGCAGTTAAGCAATGCTTGAGCAGGGGCCTCAGGAGATCCGCACCGGCCTCCCTCCCGCTATCCGGGCCTAAAGAAAAAAACGGAAAAGGGAGCCCCGCCGGGCTCCTCGAGGCCCTGGGGTTGCCGTCCCGAAAGGCAAGCAGGCCGGCAGCCGAGGCCTCCGCTTGCATGGGAGCGCCTGCGTTGGACGCGGGACTGCTGTGTTCTCCCGGAGGAACGAACCCGCCTGGGAGAGAACAGCGCGGCGCCAGGCAGCAGGACGCCCAGCTGACCAATAAAGGGACTGCTCTGCAGCCTGCCTGTGCCAGACAGACAGACCGACACCAGCCAGACGCCTTGTGCACTAGCAGCGGGGGCCATCCTATCACTTCTGCCCGAACAAGCGTCTCAGGAGGGTCAGGGCAGCCCTCAGGAACCGCAGGGTCGGCCTGAGGAGGGCAGATTTATTTCCGTTCAGGGCCTCGGACTCCCGGGCACCTTCAGAGGAACACGCTCCCGTTTTTGTTTTTTGGGTTTTTTGTTTGTTTGTTTTTGTTTGGTTGGTTGGTTGGTTTGTTGTTGTTCGTTCTCAAGAGTTGTTGCGAATGCGGGGCGGCTGCCTTTTGATCGCTCTCGAATGTTGCATGGAAACAAGATTTCGAGAAGGACCGGGAAAGCACAACAACAGAACTGAATTTTCTGACGCCTTTGCACGTGACCCGAGTTGCCCCCAGCGAAGTGTGGGTCGGCACAACCCGAGATGCTTTTGCGGGAGAGCTGGGGACGAGGGATCCGAAGCCTGGTCTATAGGGTCTCACTTGCCTAGGTCGGGCTGTGGCTGCCCCGGTTTTACCGGCCCCACGTAGCCCTTTCCTGGGCGCCCTTTGTTTAAACTTCGCTTATCAGAGGCAGGCGGCCCCTCTGGGACCATAAGTTTGCCCTCTTTGTAATCCAAGTCTTCTCGCCTTTTCCTATGGGCACCTAATTCGCTGGCAGGGAGAGGGGGTGGAGGGTTGCGGGGTTCAAAGAAATCCGTTTGCTTAGGGACTGCCTTCTACAGGGATATTTAATTTGCAACACAGCGACCTCCCAGCCCCACACCAGCAATGCGTCTTGAGGGGTACTGTGGAGGAAGTGGGGGCCTCTTTAGCCAGAGGGGTTCAGAAGTCTCCTCTAGGGCAAGGCCTCAGACCTGTTCAGGTCACTGCTGTCCCTCCAATAGGGAAATCAGGGCTCCAACAGCTCCTACTGTTCTTTGAGCTTCACTTCCAGCCCCCAAATCTGACGGCTCCCTCTGCTCTGGCCTCCATG